TAATCCCTCAGCTATTGCTCCATTCCTATGCCTACCTGCCTGCCACCATATTCCCTGCTGTGATGTTCATGGACACACCTTCTGAAACTATAAGCAAACCCCCAATTAACTACTTGCTTTTTTAAGTTCCTTGGATGAGGTGTCTCTTCACAGCAATAGAAAAGTCCCTAAGACAAAGTTCTCACACATTTTTTAAGTTGCCCAAATGAAACACTCAAAGCAACATATGACGTAAACAGTGAATTAGTAAATTATGCTTTATGTATTTTAAGAAATATCTGTCAGGTATTGAACAATTAATATGCTATTTTCATTGGTGTTAAAATGACTCATAGATAATGATCCTTAACACAGAGCACCATAGTAAGAGTCCCAAGCTAAAACTACTACAAACACGACTCATTTAATGAGTAGCTCAAAGAGCAGCCAGTCCACCACTGTAATCCTTTACAGAAGAAACCATACTGAGCATACAGAAGTCGAGCAACATCACAGAGGATAAACAAAGAGCAAGGAATACTTGACTAGACGTGAAAGGAAGAAGGGTGGGCAGCTGCCTGAATAGACAGCTCTAGTACTCCTGGCTGTCATGTGCACAGCAATTCCTGCCTCACACAAGCCTGACTTCATTTCAACTTAAGCCCAGGTTTATGACCACAGAAAACTAAGTGACTATCAAGACACTTTAAAGAGCAAAGGTACACAAATGCTGCCTGATCTTCCTCTTCCCTTTAAGCCATAGCTGGGATGTAACTAGCCTAGGGCAGAGTTCCGGGACTGAGGCTAAGCAGGGGAGACATCTTAAAGGAAAATAATCTGGGGACTTTAGATGTGAGGTACTTCATTTGGAAAAAAAATAATAAAATAAAAGAGTTCTGTGGTTGTAGAATGTATTTAATTCCAATCTGGGGTTTCTACCCCACCTTCGATCATCTAGTTCCTGAATAAAAAACATACACTTTTATTATTTATAATAAGCCTTAATTGGCGCTAGAGTTGGGCAGATATCTACCCTCTATGCTATTAGAATCTACTTTTTTATCGATAACCTCAAGTTACCACTTACTATGAATCTGGGCTGCTCTTAACTCCAATTGGCTAGTCCTTGGGGCCATGTTTTCTTAACTTCTAACCCATGGAATCTCTCTCCCCTTTCTTCACTTTCTTTTCCCTCTCTTTGTGGTCTCCTCCAATCCCCAAGCAGGGAACACCAAACACTGCCTACCTCAATTCTGCCCAACTATTAGCTGTTGGCATCTTTATTTACCAATTAAAAATAACTTGGGGACAAGGTCACATAGCATCACTTGGGTCTTCTTGCGGATTCTCTCATCTCTGGGGCAACAAGGTCTTGGGCCCCTGCACATAGCATTACAAGACATAGCAACAGGCCAGATCTCAACATTCTGCTACTACTCACAGTTTGAAAGCTACTTGTAAAGTGTTGTTTGAGGAAAACACAAACAAACAAACAAATCTCCATCATTAGCCAAAGTCACATGCAGATAGAATGGAAGGTCGAGTAAGTCAGGCGGAGTCAGAACATCAGAATTACCTCACTCAAGGTGCCCCTGGCTCTGGCTCTTTATGTACTGTCTTTGACTACCAGTTGCTATCCATTCCATATTTCTGTTTATTAGTAGTCATCTTTCAATTAACCTACTTTTATAAAACATCCCGTTTTGTTTCAGTAATACTTATAAACTATTCAATGTGATATTTTTTGTCTAGTGAACTTTTAAAAATGAATCCGTAATTATCTAAATTGACATTTGTATATATGTGTGCCTGCATGCATCTGGGCGGATGTCAGAGGTCAGCCTCCTCAGCTGTCTTTCTCAGTTGCTCTCCGCCTTGTCTTTTGAGACAGAGTCTCTCATTGACCCTAGAGATCATCACTTCGGCTGGATTTTGAGCACCTGTGCCTATCCATCTCTGCTTCTCTTGTTTTAGGATGATAAGCACGTTGCACATTACCAGCTCTTTCAAGTGGGTCCCGGGGATCGAACTCAGGTCCTTGTGTTTTTATGGTAAGCACTTTCCTAAATGGCCTTCTGCCAGCTCCCAGATTAAATTTTAAAAATAAACTTTCTATGTTTTGCATATGGTGTCATGTGAATCCTACTATGGCAAATGCTCTCTACACAAAATTCATTGGCAAAGACACATGTAAGAAGGTCATTTCAAAACAGCTTATCTAGCCCTACTCGCAAGTCAATGGACTTTAGCAGACACAGGGCAGAGCCGATGTAGTAATTTGATATATTGTAACCAAATAGCTAACACAGTTAAGATGAAGATTTACTTTAGCTCACAGCTCTAAAAGGCCAAATCCAAGATTAGGTAACCCCAATAATTTGGACCATTAAAAGAAGCATTATATCGTATAAAAAGCACATGTTGGACTGAATCTGCATGCCATAAACAGAAAGAAAGACACACAGAGACAGAGAGAGGGAGACAGAGAAAGAGACAGAGACACAGAGAATGTTCAGGGTTTCATTCCCTTGGAAAGTTCAATTCCAATGACCTTAGGGACCAAGCTTTAACACAATGACATTATACATATATGTATGTGTGTGTGAGAGTATGAGTGTGTGTATACATGCATATGTGAGTGCATATGCATGTGCATGCATTCGTGTGTGTGTGTGTGTGTGTTGTGGAAGGGAAGTTATTATCCAAGGCATATATATCAGTCAAGCAATCTCTTAGTGGTTTGTTTTCATTTTCTATGTTTCAACAAACCTCTGTGATGATTCTGTGCTTGCACTTGAGTGGAAATAATTGATTTTATTTTATCATGTTCTCCCCATCAGGGTGAGGTGTAGGGCTTAGCTAAAGTGACAAAGGACTGAAGAAGTCCTTGTGTTAGAGTCCTCATACCACAGTAATAGCCATTTCAGTTTTGCTTAGGTCTGTCTGTTACTACATCCTTCTTACATATCTACAGCCTGAAGAAGACAAGCTAGCCTCAGGACGGAGACAGGAAGAGGTTCTCATGGAGCCTCCCTGTACTAGTAACACAGTTGCCTCCTCCAGTCCTTCACTCAGAGATGCCCTCTAGAGTGAGGCTTAAGGGTATCCATTGACAAATCCTTGGTGACTCTTCCTTTTTACTCTGTCAATCTGAATCAACCTACTATATAGCAGAAGCTACAGGCCTTCACCAATGATCTGGTGTAAGATAGATATTCCATGACACAAGCATTTCTCATCCTACATATCTGGCCAAGCTATTATTTTAAAAAGTGGTCCTTCTTTCCTGGTGGGCTCTATTTTCTGGGCAAGTGTGCACATCTCTCTCTCTCTCTCTCTCTCTCTCTCTTTCTAACTTTCTAACTTTCCATTGGTTCTTTGTGAATTTCAGATCATGTACCACAACCCCACTCATCTCTCCCTCCCTTCATATCGACCCTCCAACATTGCAACCTCCCTCACAACAGAGAAAAAAATCTTACTGTAGAAGCTGTAGCGTGTGCCACAGTACACCCTTTTGCCCACACTTCTTTGCTTGCAAATGCTCATTGCAATGACTCACTGGTCTGGTATGAGGCCTCTGGCTTCTGCTACTCTATTAATACTGGAACCTCACTGAGACTCTTATAGGATACTCCATTGTTGCCCTGTGTTATGGAGATCCTGTAGCTCTGGATCTGTAGGACCTGCCCCTTCATGCATTCCAGCAGTTCATTGATGGGGTAGATGTTGAGATAGGCCAATTCAAAGTCCTGGATCTGGGGCTGAGAGGTCTCTGAGCTGGTCAGCCCTCTGACTCTCTCATTTTCATGGCTTCAAGGCTGCCTCACGAGCAACCCCCACAACCAGGGCCAGCTCTACCCTGCTGCTCAGGAAAGGTGCAGGGCCTGTTCTCCTAAGTGTTGCAGATGGTGAGTGACATGACCACTTCTCCCACTCTCATGACCCCAGGGCCAGCTCCACTGCCTGCCATAGACAGTGAGAGACAAAGTATGGGAGGAGGGGAGGAGGTTATCTTTCCCTCATGTGTGGCACTGCCCAACAGACAAGAGGCAGGGCCAACTCGCCCACACTCTTGTCCTCAGGACTGCTCACTAACCCCTGCATCCAGGACCAGCTGTACTGAGCTGCCTAGGTGAGGTTCAGAACCTGCTCTTCCAAGTGCTGCAGCAAATGAGATGTAGGGCCAGCTCTCCTGCCTGTCATAGGTTGCAAGGTGTGTGTGTGTGGGGGGGGCATCTCTCCTTCACCCATGTCACCACACTGCAGAAGTAATAGGGCCAGCTCTTCCATGTTCATGCCCTCTCCCTTAGGGCATGTACTCTTGTGTACTCTGCCATCAGGCTCAGCTCTACTCTGCTGCCCAGGTGAGGCACAGGACCCACTGCAGCTGGCTAGGGGTGGGGGAAGCTCTCACATTCTTATGACCCCAGGGCCAGCTCTTCCAGGATGAAGGGTGGAGCCAGTTCTTCACAGCCTTTGGACATCAACATGTCCAGGGCAGCAGCCTAGACCAGGGATGACTACCTGGCATTTTGTAGTAACAGATCCCTTGCTGCTACGGGGCAAAGGACCAAGACATGGCCCCTGGTGGCAGGACAGGCCAGAACTCCACTGTGGTCCAAAGTGGCATCAACAGCTACTCATATCAGTCTATTCTCCTCTACCCTAGAGTCTCTAGTTCTGCCTCTCTTCTTGATTATGCTCACATCCTCTGTTTCTCTCTCTCTCTCTCTCTCTCTCTCTCTCTCTCTCTCTCTCTCTCTCTCGTTTCTCCACTACTTACTTGCTCCTCTTAGTGGTGCCTGGAGTCTCTACGTGTCTAGGGTTGCCTCAAGAGCGGTCTCAGGAGTGCTATACCTTGCTTGTACATTATAGCACTGGGCAGGGGTCATCTCAGGCATGGTTTCCCCCCTCCCCAGGCCTGTGTGTTGCCTAACTGGTAGTTGTCTCAGGCTAGCCCCCTGTCCAGACACTCTGGTGCTGGATTGGTGGTCATCTCAGGCTCACTTTTTTCAGGAACTGTTAGGCTGCTAATCATCCAGATGTTCATAGATCAGAACACTGAGCATAGACATAGCCTTTCTCTCTCCTCTCTGCCACCTATTGATTCACATGTGACACAGCAGCCACACCAGCAAGCCTTCTAGGGGCAAGGTATGCAGCTTTCTTAAAGAGAATAAGATATCCTCTCTGGAATAGTCCTGACCAAGAAATAAAATCAGTTCTAAACACCATGTTCAATGTGGAAAAAACAAGACACTAGAACAGACAATTGGAATAGGGAGACACATTCAACTCATCAGTAGAATCCAGACCAGTTCTGATGGTGCTTGGCTCAGGGAAGAGAGCACTGAGGACTGTCAGCATGTTTTTATTCATAGACAGGAGGATGGAACAAGAAAAGACCATCAGGTGAGAAAGAGCTTAGCACTGTCAGGACACATAAGGAAAGTGATCATGGATGGAACATGAGAGCAAGTCAGGATGTAAGTGAAACAGATATTGAATTGTGTAGAGTACAGAAGGGATGCCGACTTCTGTTTTCTTATTCACTTTACATCCCAATCACTGTGCCCCTCCTGGTCTCCCCTCCCATAATTCCTTTCCCACCCCCTCCCCTTCTCCTCTGAGAGGGTAGAGGTTCCCCCAGGTATACCGCCAAACTGGCACATCAAATTTCTGTGGAGCAAAGTGCATCCTCTCCCACTGAGGCCAGATAAGACAGCTCAGCTAGAAGAACATATCCCACATACAGGCAACAGCTTTTGGAACAGCCCCCACTCCAGTTGTTTGAAACCGACATAAAGACTGAGCTGCACATTTGCTACATATGTGCAGGGAAACCTAGATTCAACACATGTATGTTCTTTGGTTGGTGGTTCAGTCTTTGAGAGCCTTAAGGGTCAAGGGTAGTTAACTCTATTGGTCTTCCTGTGAAGTTCATATCCTCTCTGGGGTCCTCAGTCCTTCTGTCCAACTCTTCCATAAGGATCCCCAAGCTCCATCCACTGTTTGGCTGTGGGTCTCTGCATCTGTCTGAGTCAGCTGCTGGGTGGAGCCTCTCAGAGGACAGCCATGCTAGACTTCTATCTGCAAGCATAACAGAATATCATTAATAGTGTCAGGTATTGTTGCTTGCCCGTGGGATGGTTCTCTGATTGGACCTGCTGTTGCTTGGCTATTCCCTCAGTCTCTGCTTCAGGATGCTGACTTTTAATCAAGTGTAACAAGAAACTATGGAAAGGTTTTTAGTAAGCTAACAATACAATTTTGTTTAAGAACTTAGGAATATCTTGCAGAGGAGACTATAATGTAATCATTACCATCAAATCCTTGAAAGTCAGTATGGAAGAGGGGATGAGTGTATTCAAAAATATCCACTGAGTCTAAAGTAATAGCAACGCAGATTTCAGGTTACCTTATAATGATCAGAGTTGGCACATAATGAAATGAACTGCCTCTGATTCAAATAATCATGCATCCACCAGGAGTATGTGTGCATCAGCTAGTTATAGCTGTGTAGCAACCTGTCTCTAGACTAAGCATCTTAACATTACAACAAGTTGTTATTTCTTTTGAGTTGATGGATTATCTCAGTGATTCTACTCAGCTGAGCTTGGTTGGATTGATACTGACTGGGTACATATCATGTATCTGACTCTAGACTGTAGACTTATTAAAAGGTTATCTTTAATGTTGCTGTGACCACCTGAAAGAGCAACTGAAGTAAGGGAATCATTTTGTTTAGGCCATGGCCTCGATGTTCCTATCTAAAGTAGACTGGCTCCATAAGTCTGAGATTGCCATAAGTACTTCATTATGACAGAAGGTAGTGTTGAAAAGGTTGTTTACCTCATAGTAGGCAGGAAACACAGAAGTGAGCGGGGGAGGGAAGAAGAGGAGAAGGAGGAGGAGGAGGAAGAAAGAGGAGGAAGAAAGAGGAGGAGGAAGAGGAGGAGGAGAAAAAGAAGGAGGAGAAGAAGAAGGAGAAGGAGAAGAGAAGAAGGAGAAGGAGAAGGAGAAGGAGAAGGAGAAGGAGAAGGAGTAGGAGAAGAAGAAGAAGAAGAAGAAGAAGAAGAAGAAGAAGAAGAAGAAGAAGAAGAAGAAGAAGAAGAAGAAAAGAAAAGGTCTAACCTTCAAAAGCTCCCATTGACCTATTCTCCAGTTAAGTATGTATCTCCCCAAATAGTTTATCCAAGTGGAGATCAGGCATTTAACACACTGGCCCATGAAGCATTTACATTCCAGTCTCAATGGATGGCCAATCCAAACTTCCCTTGGCTGCAGCAGTTCAGCTATTTTCTGTGTGGTCATATATCCTTCAGCAGGTTATCATGGACTTTTCATTGACATTACAGAAAAGCAAGGGAGAAAGTAGAAATTCACAAATCTTTCTCACACTTTAGCTTTCCTCAAGTGTACGAACAGCTTTATTGGTCAAAGAAAGTCACATGGCCAAACCTAGAGAGAGTAGAAGGAGGCTATAGAGTCAGAAGGGCACAGATCCAGAGAGGCCATTAACTGGGGGCCATCAATATACTCAACTTACACATGTACATTAGAGAAGTAGAAGGTCCACTTATGAGAGAGGTGTGTGTGATGATTAATTTTGATTGTCAACTTAATGGGATTTAGAATCACCTAGGAAACAAACCTCTGTCATGTTCCTAACAGGTTTAACAGAGGTTAGTAGACCCACTCTGTATACGGGGCACCATTCAGTAGACTGAGTTCCAGGGTGAATTAAAAAGAGAAAACACTCACTGCTCTACTTCCTCATTAGAGCTGCAAAGGATCAGCTGGCCCACACTCCTACCAATGGAGGCCTAGAGCTATCACTGCCGTGACTTCCAGGCTGTAATGGATGCTTCCCAAAAGACTGTGAGGCAAAATAAACTCTTCCTTCCTTACATTGCTTTTGTTGGGTGTTTTGCTACAGCAGCAAGACAAGTATCAAAAATGAGCATGTAGAATATATTAGAATAAATGGTTTTATAAGGCCTGCCACAACCTACAGTTAGAGTAATGAGAACACATAAAGCATTGAGCATGAGATGCTGACTGGAAAGAAAGGCACAGAAAACCTGTACCCATCCCTGTAGGCTTTTGCTTTTCTAAGGCATGCAAGTTTCTTTCCAAGGATGAAGAAAAGTCTATCCTCAGGGTTGACCCCACTCACTTTCTGAAGGGCACAACAGCCTAGAGTATGCTCATCTTCTTTCCCCAGGAGTTACTCTCTCCATTTTCCTGACAGCTTCAGTCTAAAGGGACATCATAGGGCTCAGGGATGGCCTCTTTGTGTTTGGTTCCAACCCAGCCTCCTAACTCAAGCCACGGGATCATCTTACAGCAAAGATATTAGCAGAAGGGGAAAGGCTGCATGAGAAAACCACTCTGCTCCAGACTGAAGCTCATTTCTAAATAAAGATATTAACTCATAAAGACAAGGGTGAGGATATGGGCCTAACTGGAACTGACTTATGGAATCTGAGAGAATTAAACACATGCACACATATTCACACATTCATGTAAAGTATTTAGAATTCAGATTGTAAAATAGCAGAAATATTGAAAATATAAAACCAGCTACAACTATAACTGCAAATAAAGTTTGCATCTTGCTAGCAAATGTGAACTATAAAAATTCCACGATTTTGTGGTCTGGTGAAGGCCACGACAAATTTCCAGAGCCTCACACGGAAATACGGACATCCACATTATTTACATACACATGACACCCAGATAAACATTCACCTAAAACTTCACTCATGCATGTGCATGCACACACACACACACACACACACACTGGTACATACACATACAATAGCACAGCCATCGGTATGTCTATACAAATGTACTCATAAAAATTTAAAGCTGTAGATCTAGTTGGTATCTTTTGTTTACTTGATTCTTAATGGTACTAGAAACTGAACCTAGAACCTAATGCATGCTAGGCAAATGCTCTAGGACTGAGCTACATTCTCTAACCCAATCTAGATAACATCATGGTGATATCAATGGATGTATATTTACAGATATATGAAACAAACATAGGTACTCTACATAGCTGTAGATGATTTGCCTCTCTGACTAACTCACTGTCTACCCCTCTCACTGTTCCCTCTTCTGTCAACCCTCCTCACAGTCCAGGTAATCCTTAATTCTCTCTGTTTACCACCCTTGAAATTCTATTCACAACGCTCTTCCCATGGTGGGCTCTATCAAAGCATTCAAGGACTAAGGTTGAAAGCCTCCTCTTCAGTGCTGCCATCTCAACTGTGTTTCATACAAGCCAGTCACTTACCATCCCTGCCATAAACCTTGGGTTGTAATGGCTTTACTTCCATTGTGAAAAAAACACACTGTCATGGAATATAGCTTGTTGTCTCTTCTTTCTCCCATATCTCCATCACTTTTTTATGTCCTGAGTCTAACAGTGTCTATCAAACAGTGATACTCAAGAACTATCTGTTGCATGTACCAATTACCACAGTGAATGGTTGAGAAATGGTATAAAATCACAGCAGAGTTATTCTCCTTCAGAACCAATACTTTGGGTTATGTATGTATGTGCTCCTACTTCACAGTTACTGTTGTGCAAACATATTGATCTGCTGTCTTGGGGTTCTTCATTGGAGGTGGTAAAGCCTTAAGAACAGAGATGCAAACTCTGTCTTACAGAAGTCAGGAAGCATCAAAAGGTCAAGTGGAGGCAAGGCACCAACTATATCTCCTGCCAAACTCCAGGATGGACTGTGCTAACTGTTAAGAACCAACAGAGCACAGGATATGAGAAAGGACACCATCTTGGTGACTTGTAAGAGGCAGGTAATACAAATTTTTACTTGGCAATAGTACTGCTAAAGGAAAGTGAACCTGGAGATAATGGAAAGTCGATGACTATGCCAGTCTCTAAGCCAAGTGGATGAAGCTTCCATGCCCAATCTTTAGGTTGCATAAGCCCAAGATGAACCGATCTTGGGAGAGAGGAGAGCTGCTAAAGATGTGACATCAACTCTTGGAAAGTCCCAGGGACTTTGGAATAGAAGGCTCACCAGCTTCCAAGATGAGTAGTCCTGTGGTTGGGGGGAGTGTTCAGGAAACAATTAAGCCTTTGAAATACATGTGCAGAGTGAGGCGCTTGGGGATGGAAA